TAGATTAGACTTTGAGATTACTCAAATCAACTTACCTTTCAAAGAATTTAGAGTTAATATTATATTTTCCACATAGTAGAAAATGCCCACTGAAGAGTGTTTTAAATTGTGAATTTTGAAAGCACACGGGGTGTAACATTTTGGCATGATATGTATTTGGTCTGTGGATAAACCATCTGCATGACCTTGCGTCACAGGGCATGTTTGTGCCATTTGGTTTTCCTCCCGCCATTTATTCCTGGTCCTCACTCCTGTTGAGAGGAAGATGCTGACCATTCCTCCACGACTTGGATGAATGACATGCCGAAGAGATGTTCCTTTTAAATGAGGTATATGAATGTCCGAATGTTAGTGCTCTGAAAATACGACCGACTAAATGTGGTTACTTTCATCATCCTCTTTAAGCCCAAGACTAACGGTAATTGTGGTGAAGAAACGAGTAAATGCCAGATTTTTTGCTCAGTCTGGAGGAAGACTTCAAAATCCACTTCCTGGAACAGTTATTGATGTAGAGGTTACTAGACCAGAATGGTAAGTTCTGTATGAACAGATGAAAATTGTTTTCTCTTTTTTGATTGTTTTGAGCATGGCCTCTATACTAATTTTATTATGTTTACTTTTTAGTTCTTATATTTCTTATAAATACTAAATTCTTCAACTAATTTTATCTAACATTATTACTAGGGCCCATGAATTCTTAGTGTCTGAAATTGTGAACAGAAGCATCTGAGTGCAGTTTTTCTTTGGGGAAGAGGATTATTTTCTGTGGTATCAACTACACATTGAGAGGTTAAGAACTGCCTCTGTAGACTGCTTTTATGTTGTTTACATATAGAACCTCATCCACAGATTGTTGTTTTCTAGTAAAAGTGTTTAGAATCTGCAATGCACTTAGTTATCCAAAGGTCAGGAAGTTCCATCTGAGACACGGTTGCAGATGAGAAGATGGCTTCTGAGCAAGCCAGGCTTCTGTGTGTAGCCTGGAGCTACACTCCACAGGGAGAGGATGAGAGAGACAACTGGGACTTGCAGGGCACTGGTGGGCACAAGGTCATGGTCTCAGTGGCACACAGGGTTCAGTGGTAAAGTCATGACACTTGGTTCCTTTTTAGTGAGTTCCTCAAAAACCCTTTTGTGTAGGGAGGTGTGCAGTGCAGTGAGCCGTGTTCATGAAGGCAACTCCTCAGTCTATTAATGCTCACCTCGTGAGAGCGAGTAGTTAGCATGATTCTGTTCTGTATGTTCTAGAACCTTGTGAGGAAGACAACTTTAATCAGGATAAAGTGTCAGACTAGGTACAAAGTTTATATATGGGGCATTTTTCCCATATGAACCTTGGATACATGAGGCGTTACTGTACTAAATTTATGTGGACAGATGACAATAAAATACAGATCTTAGCTTCATCTAGTAAGCTGTTATCTGACAGTGGAGAGAAATTTTTATTTTGAAAT